TGGTAACCCCTGGCTACACATCACATTCCTTTTCTGGATAGAGGAGGAAGAGAATGCCATTATAGCACTTAGGAAGCTGTCAGGAAAATCTGGGTGCTGAGGCTGGTGGTTTTTGGTGAAAAAAAGGTTTAAATACTTGACATACTGTCTCCCTGTACCCATTAGCATTTGACTGGGACTAGCCTAGGTGAGGGAGGGTCTTAGTATCTCCCCCAGCACAACTTCAAGGTCTGTTAACTGCTGCGGCAGCTGTTATGATTGAAGAGAGCCCTAGACTAAGAGGCAGGTAGACACAAGTTCACTTCCCCCCCACCACCACTTTCTAGCTGTGTGACTTTGACCAAGTAACCTAAGCCCTCTGAACCTGTTTCATCATCTGTAAAATGGAGACCGTGATGACAACTAGGACAACAGCAATAACTGTCAGAAGATGTGTCAAGCACAGTGCCAAGCATATAGAAGCACTCAGCAAATGGTAGCTGTTTCTAAGCATTTTCTGGAAGCAGGAGCCTTATCCTTCAGGGGCCAAGCCACTGTGACCTTGCTTGGAGTGTGGGTACGCCGTCACCTGAAGGAATCAAGAAGCTATCCTTAGCTGTTCTTTCCACTGGAGAGTGTGTTTTTCCCAGGCTGGGAGAGGCTGTGCGTCACACACCTGTGCATGAGTCTGGGGCAGCAGAAGGTCAAGGTACAGAGTGTAGGGGTTTGGGGAGCTACCCAGTGACCCGTCAAGTCCATTCATCAACTTTCTCTGTGGAAGGGGCTGCAGAGGCTTGGCTGTCACAGTCAGCACGCCTCTTTCCTGGGAGAGAGGCTCTAGTAGCAGCCTGACCCCTCCCCAACTGAGGGCTTTACCTAAGCCCCAGCACGTGAGAATTTGTCCAGCTTGTCCTTGTGGATGGCTTCCATGGGCTGGGGGAGGAGGAAGTAGTCGGTGGGACTAAATCTCCTCCTGTTCTCAGGGGACTTTTGGCATTCTCTGTCCTTAGGTGACATCATGAGCACTGGATCCAATTCACATGTTGGTCCTGCTGTGTGTGTGACATTGGGACAATTACTCAACCTCTCTCAGCCTCAGCCGTCTTCTCTGTAAAATGATGTTTTGTTTTGTTTTAAGTTGGGAGGTCTCACTCTGTTGCCCAGGCTGGAGTGCGGTGGTACAATCACTGCTCACCGCAGCTGCCTCAATGTCCTCAAGCGATCCTCCTGCCTCAGCCTCCAGAATAGCTGGGACTAAAGGTGTGCATCACCACACCTGGCTAATTTACTTATTTATTTATTTGTAGAGACCAGGTCTCACTATGTTGCTCAGGCTGGTCTTGAACTTATGAGCTCAAGCAATTCCCCTGCCTCTGCCTCCCCAAGTCTGAAATTACAGGCATGAGTCACTGTGCCCAGCTGTAAAATGGTGTTTGTAATTGGGCCTACCTCTAAGGTTTGTGCCAGGTTCTAGCCTACGGGACCTAGTATAAAGTTAGCATCCAGTTAATGGTAATTAACAACTACCTATTAGCCTCAGATGACTTTGTACCTGCAGCTACTTCCTCCTCCACCCACCTCACTCACCCCTTCAGGTCCAAATCCAGGAGCAGTGTCAGTTCCTCTGTCTTGTTCTGACTCCAAATAACCCACATAAGAGGGACTTATCATTTCGCTGGTCAAGTCTTTTCTTTGGGCAGCTTTCACTCATCCTGGGGTTGCAGAGGCAGAATCACTGTCAGGCTGGCGTACAGTCCTGAGCTACCCTAGTCCCTCTCCAGCAGTACTCACGGCCCCCACCACCTCTAGGCCCGCCCTGAGACAGGTTCTGTGACAATCTATAGCAGCCTTGTAAATAGAAACTTCTGTGATTATGAAAACACTCTCTATTTGCACTGCCAATCTGGCAGCCACTAGCCACATGTGTCTACTGAGCACTTGAAACGTGGCTAGTGTGGCCAAGAAATGGAACTTTTTATTTTCTTCAGAGACACGGTCTCACTCTGACACCCAGGCTGGAGTGCAGTGACAGTATTATGGCTCACTGCAGCCTTGAACTCCTGGGCTCAAGTGATCCTCTCATCTGAGTCCCCCGAGTAACTGGGACTGCAGGCATATGCCATCATGCCCAGTTCATTTTTTAAAGTTTTTGTAGAGACTTAAAGCTTTTGTTTTGTTGCCCAGGCTGGTCTCGAGCTCCTGGCCTCAAGCAATTCTCCCGCCTCAGCTTCCCAAAGCGCTGGAATTACAAGGCATGAGCTATTGCACCCAGCCCATTTTAATGACCTTAAATAGCCACACGTGGCTACCGGCTGCCATACGGGACAGTAGGTTTGGAACCCTCAAGCAAGTATGAAGAGAGGGGTGGTATGAAACAAATCTGGAAAAATGGAGGCAGAGTCAGGCCCAAGCGAATAAATCACTTCCCCTCTCTGGATCTCAGTTTCCCTACCTGTTTTCTTAGTGCTGTTTGTCGTCATCTCATTAGCTAGATGACTTTTCCTGAGGCCCCTGAACTTGGGATGAGACAGGGAAGTCCTTCACGATGGATTTCCTCTTTCTTGGCCCTGGCACATTCTCAAGGGAAAAGTACAAAGAGTCAAAAATCCTGGAGCACACGTCAGAGGTCATGAACTTAGAATTAGGCCAGTAGATTCTGTGCTGACTCAGCACACACCATAACTTCACCCAGTGTGGAGGGAGATGGTTCTGTGGGGAAAAAACTGACAGGGATTCAAGTCTGAGTGCAGCCATTTCCAACTCTATGCCATGCTGAGCCTCAGTTTCCTCATTTGGAAAGTAGCCAATATGCACCCCAGAAAAAGAGATGATTAAACAGATCATGGCCATGTGAAGAAAACAGCACTCTGCCTCTGTGGTCTTCCTCCCCCATAATTCTAGTCTAATTATGAGAAAAACATCAGACAGATGCCAAGAGAGCGGCATCCTACAGTACACCTGACCAATATGCCTCAAGTCATCATGGTTATCCTCAAGGGGAGTCTGAGAAACTGCCACGCCAGAGGAGCCCGGGAGACGTGACCCTAAATAAAATGTGCTTTCCTGGAAGCAGTCAGAGAATAGGAAAAGGACACTTGGTAAAAACAAGGGAACTCTGAATAAATGATGAACTTGCATTTGCTAACGTCATTGACAATAATAAAATAGTAATATCGGTTTATTAATTATAAAACACACACCAGCTGGGCTCGGTGGCTCAGCCTGTAATCCCGCACCTTTGGGAGGCTGAGGTGAGTGGATTGCCTGAGCCCATGGGTTCGAGACCCACCTGGGCAACTTGGCGAGACCTCATCTCTACAATAAATCAAAAATTAGCCAGGCATGGTAGCACACGCCTGTAGTCCCAGCTACTCGGAAGGCTGAGGCGGAAGAATCGCCGGAGCCCAGCAGGTCGAGGCTGCAGTGACCGGGAGCAGCCACTGCACTCCAGTCTGGGCGACAGAGTGATACTCCAACTCAAAAAACAACAACAACAACAAAAAAAACACACACCATACTACGATGGTAATGTGGGGGGAATCTGGGAGGTATGGAGGAACTCTGCTCAATTACAAGTAAATGCGTAGACAAATAAAATAAAATAGAAATAACAAGGCCCTCCCTACACACATAAGAATTCAACAGGCATGAACCAAGTAGACCAATTATAAATATTATATATTATATGAAATATTCAACCATGCATGGTGGCACGCACCTGTAGTCCCAGCTATTTGGAAGGCTGAGGCAGAAGGATCGCTTGGTCCTAGGAGGTCAAGGTTGCGGTGAGACACGATGGTGCCACTACACTCCAGCCTGGGCAAGAGAGTGAGACTCTGACACAGAAATAAAATAAAATTATATGAAATATCCAGAATAGGTAAATCTATAGACACAGAAAGTAGATTAGTAGGTGCCAGGGGCTGAGAGAGAGAGACTGCTGATGGGTACCTCACTTTTGGGATGATGAGAATGTTCTAGAACTAGATAGAGGCAATGGTTGCACAACATTGTGAATGTACTAAATGCCTTTGAATTGTTCACTTTATTTTATTATTATTATTATTATTATTATTATTATTTTGAGTTGGAGTCTCACTCTGTCACCCAGACTGGAGTGCAGTGACCGCTCCTGGTCACCGCAGCCTCGACCTGCTGGGCTCCGGCAATCCTTCCGCCTCAGCCTCCCAAGTAGCTGGAACTACAGGCGCGCACTACCACGCCCAGCTAATTTTTGATTTATTGTAGAGATGAGGTCTCACCAAGTTGCTGAGGCGGGTCGAATTGTTCACTTTAAAGTGCTTAATGTTGTGCTATGTGAATTTCACCTAAAAAAAAAGTTACATAGACACTTGCTATGACAGTTCTAAAATCCATTATTATTCTATAAGTCAGATGCAGGACTTGGAAACCCCCCAAGCCCAGGGTTTTCTCCCAAACTCACACTGAGGAGTCAAGGAGGAGAGTGATATAGGTGTGGTGGGGAAAAATAAAACCTGTGCTTGGAATCAAACAAACCTAAGTTGGAGCCCCCGTCCTGCCTTTTGCTAGCTGTGTGACCTTGAGCAAGTTACTGTCCCTCTCTGAACCTGTTTATTCCTCTACAAAGTGCATGATTGATGGGACTATTCAATGTGACCCCCACACAGACTCAGGCACTTGACAAGACATGCAGGCAGCAGTCATTTCCTTCCTGTCCCCCTTATCCCAGTTGTCCTGCAAACCTCCCACCAACCTCCCACCAGCCCGGACAGCTGGGCTGAATGCAAAGGGCGCATGAGGGTCAAGATTCCAAGATCTGAGAACTCCAGAAGTCATTTCTTTAGTTAAAGGTGCTGATGACAAATACCTAGCATTGTTCCCAGCGATCCCTTGCTGCCATATCAGTCAGGGTCATTCTTGAAACAGACAGACTCAAGGCCAACCCAGAGTTAGCCAAGAGCAAAGCAAACACTCCAGCCTTATCTGGGGGTGTGGAGCGGCCGCCTATAAGGAGGGAGGCTGCTGTTTCCCTCGGTCTTTTGCTCACTCACCTCCTTGACTACAAGATGAAACTCCTTGTGCTGGCTGCTCTGCTCACAGGTACGAGAGTCTCCTGGTTCCACCCCCTCCCCCTTCAGGTGCTAAGATCCCACTCCTCTGGAATGGGGGCCACAGGTCACAGCAGACAGGGCTGGCCAGCCTTGGAGTTTAAATTCAAGGCTCCCTATGGGGCTTAAGAGCTCCTGGATTGGGGTTCCCTCTAATCCCTCCAAGGCTGGCACCTTTACTTTTCTTTTTATTTTTGAGCCAGAGTCTCACTCTGCTGCCCAGGCTGGAGTGCAGTGGCATGCTCACGGCCACCGCAGCCTCGATCTGCTGGGCTCAGGCGATCCCTCCGCCTCAGTCTTCCAAGTAGCTGGAATCACAGGTCTCGCCAAGTTGCCTAGGTTGGTCTCGAACCTGTGGGTTCAGGCAATCCTCTTGCCTCCACCTCCCAAAGTGCTGGGATTACAGGCATGAGTCACTGCACCTGGCTGCTTTGTTTTGTTCTTAGAGACAGGGTCTCTCTCCAATCCAATCACACGGTGGCCAGGGTGACCTTTCTCAGGCTTAAAGTTGGTCAATGTCCCTTCCTCACTGCCTTCAGAATAAAGTCCTAACTTCTCAATGATGAGAGAAGCCTTTCTTTTACTACTGGATTCAGTTTAGACATCACCTCCTCCAGGAAGGCTTGCCTGACCACCTCCAAGATAAGGCTAAGTGTCTATAGTATTACTTCTAAGGTAATGATAATAATACCAGTTACAGTCAGGCACATGGTGCCTCATGCTGATAATCCCAGTGCTTTCGAAGGCCAAGACGGGAGGATTGCTTGAGGCCAAGCACTTGAAACCCCATTTCTACAAAAAATTTTAAGAATTAGCCAGGCATGGGGGCACATGCCTGTTGTCCGAGCTGAGGTGGGAGGATTGCTTGAGCCCTGGAGCTTAAGGCTGCAGTGAGCTATGATGGTGCCACTGTACTCCAATCCAGACAACAGAGAGAGACCCTGTCTCCAAAAAAATAAAAAATAAAACCAGCCAGCAATTACTGAGATGATGAACTAGGTGCCAACACTGAACCCTTTACAAGCATCGACTCATGTAATCCACATCAGGTAGATATTGTTACTATTACTCCCATTTTGTGAATAAGAAAGTGAGGTGTAGCCGGCGCGGTAGCGCACACCTGTAATCCTTGCACTTTGGGAGGCCGAGGCAAGAGAATTGCCTGAGCCCAGGGGTTTGAGAGCAGCCTGGGTAACTTGGTGAGACCTCGTCACTACAATAAATCAAAAAATGTCAGCTAGAGGCAGGTCTTGTTCACTTATTCAACAAAAATTTGTTGAGCACCTACTATGTGTCAGGCACTTTAATTCATTTATTGATTATTTCATTCATTTAACTCATATCTGTTGAGTGCCTACTATGTGTCAGGCACAATACCAGGCCCTGGGGAATGAAAGCCAGGAAGCCTGCCCTTGAGAAGTTCATAGTCCCACGAGAGAGACATTAAATAAATAGATGGGTGGCCAGGCACAGTGGTGCTGCACACCTGTAATCCCAGTGCTTGAGAGGCTGAGACAGAAGGATGTCTTGAGGCCAGGAATTCAAGAATAGCCTAGGTGACATAGTGAGCCTGTCTCCAAAAAAAGGAGGGGGTTAGCTGGGCATGGTGGCGTGAGCCTGTAGTCCCAGTCCCAGCCTGAATGAGAATAAAGGATATGAATCAACAAGGTAAAAAATTCAAAAAATTAGGCAGGTATGGTGGCGCACGCCTGTGGCTCCGGCTACTTGGAAGGCTGAGGCAGAAGGATCCCCTGAGGCCAGCAGGTCGAGACTGCAGTGGCCGTGAGCGTGCCACTGCACTCCAGGCTAGGCGACAGAGTGAGACTCTGACTCAAAAAAAAGAAAAGAAAAGAAAAGAAAAGAAAGTGAGACACGGAGAGGTCAAGTAGCTTCCCAAGGTCATACTAATCCTCCCGTGTTGTGACAGCTCCTTTGCTTGTCTCCTAACTAAATTGAAAGTCCCTTGAAGATGGTGACTGTGTTGTGTTTGCAGCTGTCATCTCCATCCCTGGCACTGTGCCTGGCACAGAGTATTCTTGCATTCAGAGATTGACGACTGTCTGAAAATCCAGCAAGGGAAACTGCCCGCAGCTCAGCTAGCAGGGGCTATGAACACTCCAAGGACATTCGGGAGTCTAGTCTAGTCCTTGAGGACATCCAGGAGGCAAGGGGGAGTGTTCTCATATGATGTGGAGATTCAGAGGGGCTGATCCCGGGGCAAGGTGGCTATCCTGAGGGGTCCTCCCATGGCTGTCGCTGCTTCAGTCCTGGCGCCAAGTGGCAGCCGTAGAGCTGTACCCTCCCCGGGAATGTACCTAGTGGTGGCCTCCAGCGACCGCACCCGTGGGACCCACAGCTGCATCCACACCAGGCCCTGCTTTCCTGGACAGCTCCCAGTCAGTGACAGCGCATGGCAGGGGCAAGAGCCAGGCCATTCTCACCCTACAGGGGCCTCTGCTAACAGTCATCTTTGCTCTGGGGCTCCCCATTGGCCTGGCTGAGCTCTCACAGGCCAAGGCCCGGCCTCCACAAGCCTCCTGCCTTCCCCTTCCCTTTTATTTTTTATTTTTATTTTTTTGAGTTGGAGTCTCACTCTGTCACACAGACTAGAGTGCAGTGGCCACTCCCAGCAACCGCAGCCTCGACCTGCTGGGCTCCGGCGATACTTCTGCCTCAGCCTTCCGAGTAGCCGGAATTACAGGCGCGTGCTACCATGCCCGGCTAATTTTTGATTTATTGGAAAAACGAGGTATCACCAAGTTGCCTGGGTGGGTCTTGAACCCACAGACTCAGGCAATCCACTCGCTTCGGCCTCCCAAAGTGCTGAAATTACAGGCTGAGCCACCAAGCCCAGCCCATTTTTAAGTTTTTTGTGGAGACAGGATCTTGCTATGTTGCCCAGGTTGGTTTGTAACTCCTGGCCTCAAGCCATCCTCCCTCCTCACCCTCCCAAAGTGCTGGGATTACAGGTGTCAGCTATTTTTCCACTCTGTAACACAGTATTCAGTTTCCTTATGTACTATATTTAGAGTATTACTTCTTTCTCTCTCTCTCACTAGGGCATAAGCACCGCGAGTGAGGTTAGAGATTTTTTTTTGTCTACTGCTATAACAGCTGTATCTCCAGTTTCTGTAACAGAGCCTGGCACATAGTAGGAGCTCAATATATATTTGCTGGATAGATAATGAGGATAGTTTAAAGCTATCCCCCTGAGGCCCAGTGCAGTGGCTCATGCCTTTAATCCAGCACTTTTCGAGACCAGGGCAGGAACATCAATTGGAGCTAAAAGGAGTTCAAGTCCAGCCTGGTCAACACAGCAAGACCCCATTACCAAAAAACAAAATTAGCCAGGCATGGTGGCCCACACTTGTAGTCCCTAGCTACTAGGAAGACTGAGGCAAGAGGATAGCTTGAGCCCAAGGGGTTCAAGATTTCAGTGAGCTATGATTATGCCACTGCACTGCAGCCTTGGCAACAGAATGAGACCTTGTCTCTAAAAAGAAAACAAAAAGCCTGAAAACATTTTCACACAAAACCTAGTATGCAAATGTTCCCAGCAGCACTATTTGTAATAGCCAAAAAATAAAAACAACTCAAATGTCTGTCAACTGATGAATGATAAACAAAATATGATACAGCAATACAACAGAATACGATTCGCAAAAAAAAAAAAACCAAAACAAGGTCAGGCTTGGTGATTCAGCCTATAGTCCCCCAGCACTTTGGGAAGCCAGGGTGAGTGGATTGCTTTAGCCCGCGGGCTCGAGACCCACCTAGGCAACTTGGCGAGACCTCGTCTCTACAATAAATCAAAAATTAGCTGGGAGTGGTAGCGCGCGCCTGTAGTTCCAGCTAC